AGTATCAAAGCTCGGAAGAGTCAAGGAGTCATTTGTATTCGATGATGAAAGTCTGAGCCCAAGCTCTCGGCAGGGCTGGTTTCTCCCAGGTTCTCTCAATTCAGGGGTGGTTGCCACCTTCTCCCAGTCTTCCTATGGGCTTCCCTCTGACTAGTGTGACTGGTTTATGGGAACCCTGAAAAGGCCACTTCCAGACTCAGCATGTGCTGAAGGATTTGAGTTGGGGCTTCAACATATAGGAGATGCTGGTTATAGTTAGCAATCTCGCCATGGCAGAGCCAAGCCCGAGCCCCTGGCTTGTGGGAGCTGTCTGGCACATCATTCCCTACACTGAAATGTCTTCTCCCCTCTACTGGACAACTTCAGAGCACATGAAAAAGGGCTAACTTTTTTTGAGACAGGAAACTGTGAGGATTAGGCTTGAAGGGCTAGGTTGGACTAGACGCTGGAAGTCTTCAGGAGACTCCGCTGGTCTCTACAAAGACTTCCTATGGAGGAAAGGCTTGGACAGGGTCTGGGTGCCATGCCTATGCTATGCTCCATGGAAGGAAAAGGTTGTTGAACTCCCTTCAACTCCTTTACATTCTGTGAGCAAGCTAGAGTAGGGTGAGTGGATGGGGATCTGTTCACTGATACCCCCATATCAGTCCCAATGAGACTTCTGTAAATAAGGGCAGAGCCAATACCTTTATGGTCCAGGAGCTTGTGGGAGAGCTTCTTAGACAAATGGGGAGAGGCTGAGAACTGCTGAAAGAGTACATGACATCATAGACTGTTTTGTCTAGGTCCTGGGTGTGTAGGGGTTGTTGAGAACTTGTCCAAATTACATCTTCCAAGGGAAGAAATCTTGTGAACAAAAAGAGTGGTAAGAGATGCATCGGGCCAGCATTGAAAAGAGAGGTCTCTGCTGGAGTGGCCTTGCAGTGACTGCCGCGGGGGGTGAGTGGAAGGCATGCACATCTTCACCCTATCCTGTGCGACTGTCTAGGCCACCATGTTGGCCTAGTGAGCAGCATGACCCCACACACCCACTTGGTGGAAAACAGCACAGAAGTCATTGTCTTTCTATCTGAGAGAGCTGGAAAGACCCAGTTTCCACACGAAGGATTTGAGCCTCAAGAGCAGATGTATACTTCCACTGGTGGTACTCAGAGCTCACACTGACCTTGCCTGTGCTTGAAGGAGGGCACAGGGCAGGTAGGATTGCAGGCACAATTGGTCCTAGTGCTTCTGTGCCTTTGAATGAATGTCAAACCTACCTTCTTACCATCTCAGTATCAGGCCCCCTGACACCCACCATGATTACTTGATAAAGGACAAGCATACCTGCTCCTTAAAGTTCTTGAACACTCAAGGTTGGTAGCCCCAACAGGTGTCTACTCATGGGTACACCTAGTTTTCTGGACCATAAAATGAATAATGATTCATGTTCGTTACTTTTTTCCATTGTCATGACCAAAACCCTAGCCAAGAACAAAGGACAAAGAATCTCCTCCGGCTCTGAGTATGACAGAAGAGTCCACCGTGAAGGGGAAGGCCTGGTGCTGCAAGTGGCTCACCCCAGGGCTGTGGTGTTGGGAGAGAGGTATCTGGATATAGTACAACAGTGATTAGGAAGCAGAGGGCCAGGACATACCACAGGAGCTGCCACCTTAATCAGGAATTCCAGTCATCCAAACTATAATGGGCTTCTTTAGGAGAAATGGAGTGGGGCAAATACAGAGACAAAGACACAGATAAAAACAGAGATGGCCCAGTTCTTCAATGTGAGTCAGATTCGTGCATTTCTACCATACAGAGAAAAGATGGTTGCTATACTAGTGGCTAGCTGTTTTACATTCCAGCAAGGGAGCAAAGACCATGGCAGGGCTAGGAGACAGGAAGACTTTCTCGGCTATTTCTGCAATATACTTAAGAGACAGTGCAGGCGAGAAAGTGAAAGGAAAGATCTTGGACAAAGATACATATGTTAGATATCCATAAAAATATCAAAATGACTCCTGGACCAGATAGACAGTAACTCATGCAAGCATAGAGCAGACGCCAATAAAGGTATGGTTTTAAGTGATAAGGAGAAATGTTTACTAATAAACATTTCTGAGTTCTAATATATATTAGAAAATAATTAACAATATTTACTCTCACACTCTGACAAGCAGAGCTGGGCTGAGTAAAACTTCACATAAAGGATCCCACATTCCAGAGTCACCACACTGACCCCCTAACAGAATTCAGCGTACTCCCCACTACAGCAAGCTCCAACATGCATGTCCTGAAGGTTACATCAGCCCAGACTCAGTCTAGGATTTACCTTAGAGTGGACTTCAAGGAAGAACCCCTCAGAGGTCACTGCAGAAGCCATACTGTTTCCTTCATCTGTGTTCTTGGCATGAGCAGTCAGGCTCCGCCCAGTCCTGAAGATCTACCTTCTATCCAGCAGTGGTGGAGAGGCCACGAGACTGCTACAGGACAGAGATGTTCCTCCCTTTGTTAGATCTCCACACCACTTGATGTGAATCTTAATCAAAGCCTTCACCATAATGAGGACCACCCACTCTCACACCCAGGTCCCTTTGGGAAACAGGAAAGGATTAGAGCACATCACATCACTGTGGTTTGATACAACTTTATTCAAGCTGCCTGTCCTGAAAGTCATCTACGAAGACAGGAGATGAACCTGCATTAACCCCTGCTGCGTGCTTTCTACACTCCACATCTGCTGCTTTGCTTGCAATAAAGAGCTCACTTGGTCTCAACAATTCTTTGTGGCTAACATCTTAGCAATGTTCTACAGGGATAAACTTGGGCACAGTTTATATAAGGCTGTCCGAGAGTGGAGAGCTAACAGTGGTAGACAGACCCAGCATGTGGTGGCTGCCCACAGACTCACCACTCACGGATCAGACAGCATGGTGCCTGATCAGTGAGCACTCAACAGATCCCCAACAAAGTGCATGTTGGAAATAATGTAGCTTTACAGCGACATCTGGCAATAAAACATACATAGACACATAAAACATAAACACATTTCATATAACAATGTAACATTTTACCAGGTTTTTATTATAAAAATATATGAGGCCTGTATTTTCCCTTTGTGCTGAATTATGAAGCACCAGTGAAGCCAGTAACACTTTCAGAATCTATTCTGAAGCTACATAAAGAAACGCAGTGATCGAGTTCTTGGTTATCTCAGACCCTGACTACTTGATCACTTCACAAACAGATTGTGTCAGTAGCATTCCCATTTTATTTTACATATGAGGATTTATGAAACTGTAGAGTATCTTTGTTATTTATTTATTCAGACATAAATCACAAACCAACCGTCTGGATGAAACACTGGCCTGTCTCATCAGCAAAAGGCACGTACAGAGGATCTGCTTTGATGTCAGATTTCTATTTGAAGGAGTTTTTCCAAGGAATTTCTCTGCTTGGGTAACAATCAGGTATAGTTAAATTAGATACACAGTATGTATATGTGTTATATAAGGTACATTATATAACATGTAGATTTCTGGCCTCTAATGAAATTCCACATTATGGCTCCCCATTTACCAAAAGCATCAGTTCTACTAGCTTACAAAAACTAAAAATATATATTAAATGAAATCTTAAAAAAAAATTTTAATTTATTTATTTTTAATTTATGCGTGCTTGTGTTTTGCCTGCATGTGTATCTATCTATGTGAGGGTGTTAGATCTCCTGGAACTGGAGTTACAAACAGTAATTTCAATTACTGCCACCTGGGTGCTGGGAAGAGCAGCCAGTGCTGTTAACCCCTAAGCCATCTCTCCAGTCCCTCAAATGAAATCTCAACACAAATGCTGCAGCTAAATTCAAAGTGATTCTCTGTGTCACTCTGATACAGATTCTTTTGATAGTGATTCTTTCGCCCGTGCAGTCAGGGTAAAGAAGATCTCAGTACAGAGACCTGACAAGTCCGGAACTTGCTAAGTAGACCAGGCTGACTTCCAAGTTGCAGCTATCCTCCTGCCTGGGTTTTCCAAGTACCCTGATTGCAGTCATGTGTCACAACACCCAGCTTTTATCCATGGTATCTGAATAAAACATTTTGCATTCAGTTCAATCACACAAATACTTTACCTACATAATATCAAATTATCTGAATATACCAAATGTTACTTTCATCAGAGTACTGATGAAAGTTTTCACACTAATGCTGGAATGTTATGTATTCTGCCTATAATGCAAATTATATGGAACTGGTAATATTTTAAGTCAGAAAATCCTTAGTCTAAAGGACAAAAAGGAGAAACCAGCCTGCCTATAGATATTCTAACATTCCAGATGCCAGTGCTGGAGCACCTGCCAGAAGACCTGAAACCCAGTCTTCAATCTCAGCACTTCACAAAAATTTGCAAGGTTAAAACTCATTTTTAGTATTTTACACCTGATCTTACTATCTTGTGAGACATTTCCGTCCTTTCAAATATGGATCTGGTACACAATTAGGAGTCAATTATTTTATGCCTACATTTTGGCAGGTTTTAATTTCTAATTTTTTCTTAATAGCTAATCTAGTTCAGTCATTTGACTGATTAAGCATGCAATATTGTAAAGGGAAAAGTAATGAGTATACAAACTACAAAGAAAACTGATAATTAAGTGAAAAAATTACACAGAAATGAAATATGGAAGATATCACCAAGTGTCTAAGAATTGGTCAGCCTGGCACTTTTATTACAGCCTTGTTGAGTGACACAAGACAAGCTTCCTAGGGGGTCACCTGCTGATCACCAAACTGACAACTGTGAGCATAGGGCACACACCCTCTAAAGTAGGAAAATTAGCTTATATAGCCCAACTATCACATTGCTTCACAACTGGGGTTTTTCAATGTATTTTTTAAAACTTTGCTCAATACTTAAAAAATATTGTAGCTTTATAAATTCAGAATGCAGGGCTAATCACTAAACCTTTTATATGCTAGAAGACAGGTGAACCCTGAGCCATGAAATGTTAGACAGCACAGACATGAGACAACAAGAGATTTTATTTCCTTACTTTCATCCAAACACCCTTTCCAAGAAACATAAAAGCATGCACAGTGATGGCACTCTTATCAAGGAAAGCTATAGTAGCCCCTAAGCTGCAATTCGACATTAATATTTATTTAATATAACAGTAATATAAATAAAATCTTAAATTATAGTATCTGAAAGGATTCACAGTTAAGCTGTTAATTTTCAGAAAATAGTTATGTCAAGTCAAAATTAACATGTTTAAGAGATGCTTCTAGTTTTCCAAACATTTTGATATAATTTATTTCCAATTATGATATTTTATAGACTGCTCTCGAGAAGAGTAAATACAGCTCTAATGTTCAAAAGACCATATGTAGACCACTTTGCCCTGTTTAAAAAGAATCAGTTACATCCATGTAATTCTAATGGTACTGTCTTCTAAAATTCAAATATACAGCACATACATAATTTGTTTTAATGTGTGTGTACATATGTATGTATGCATGTGGCTTCCCACACAGGCCCGAGAATATGTCCAATTCCAATCAAGCTGGAATTATAGGCTTTTGTGAGCCTCCATGCAGGTGCTGGGAACTGAACCCTCTGCAAAAATGGCAACTGCTTTTTAACTGATGAGCTGTTTCTCCTGTCCTCAGCCATGTTTACAGTCTAGCTTGTACTTATTTTGATCTAGTCAAAATCAGCTCTAATAGGACTGTTTAAAAAATGTATTTAACCAAAATGTGAGATTGATTTCAACTTCACTTTTTTAAGTAAAAGATGATTACAATTCGGCACAGTAACATGATAAACAAGTTTTTTGATTTGCTTTTAGGCCACTATATTCTTTGGATGTATGTGTACTGTATGTGAATATACATATCCACATGTGAACATACATATCCACATGTGAATATGCATACTCATATGTGAATATGCATATTCATAAACAGATATATATTCATGTGAATATACATATCCATATATGAATATACAAACACATAGAAACCAAGTGACAGCATGACTCTTAAAGATGTTGGAAATGGCTCATTTTCTGGTTTCAGGAAAACAATATAAGAGGCAAAATTTCCCTCAATTAAAAAAATTTATTTATTGTGATTCAAATGGTCTATTTCAACTCGATCATTGGTATAATTTTGTGACAAAAATCTGTATGCAGAAATGGTACCTTAAAGGACTCATAGGCAATCACACTTAAATTACAACTAAGAATACAGCAAATCAAACTTTAGAAAGCCTTCTTCCATAGGATACACTGTTGCATGACTGAGAAGAATGTGAGTTGGTCCTGGAAGGTAGCTCTTGTTCACAGGTGATATGTATGTATCAACAGTGTAGCTTCATTAAAACTAAAGAGAAATAATATTTACCCAATTCTGATGTTACCTGACATGAACAAATGCAAAACACTTCTTCAGTAGCCAAGGAGGCTTACCCACAGTAGTCAGGGAAATGCCGCTCTGAGCCACGCAGCAGCACGGCCTGCACCCCAACAATGAACAGCACCACTGGAAGACACCAAGCTAGAAAGCAAGGGCTGGGAGAAGCAGCAAGCGACCATGAACGCACACGCTCCAGACCAAATGCAGCGCGAAAGCAAAGGAGACAGGCTGAAGGCACGTGCTAGGACAGACAATCAGGATGCTGGCAGACTTCCATCACTGTGGTTGTCCGTTCTGTTATGAAAATCACAGGGCCCTTATGTTTATAAGCACTCACAGCACAGACACTGGGAGGCACTAACTCAGTAGCTCAGATGCTGGGCTATTTAAAGCTCCGCCAAATGAGACACTCACAACAGAGTTTCAACTCCGCTCTGACACTACATATTATTCTCTGTAGAATAAGGGGTATGCAAATTAAGCAATTTTAATAAATATTAGAAATGCTTGTTATTTTGTAAATATAAAGAAAACTAGCTAAATAGAGCAATATAATAAAAATATATGCTAGACAGATTTTTTTTTGCCATGAATACTTCTCACCTTTTTCTTTGAACATTAACACATAATTACAATATCTTTCCATGACTTGTAGAATTTAACAAAAACCCAGTATCACATAGCTTCAAAATATAAAATACTTTAGTGATAAGAGTTTGAGCTGCCAAGTAATCAAGATGGGAGATAACCAATATAGTGAAATATGCTAAAAAGTAATGTTAAAATACAGCCATCTGAATTATAAACAACATCAAATTACACAATCCAAATGATCTTTGCAAGTGGACATAAGTTCATGAAGAACACAAAAACAGCATAAACTCCACTTAGCTTTCATGTTTCCAGCAACCCCAGCACCTGAAAAGCCATGTGTGTTTGCCCCAAATCAACTGCCTGTTGGCTATGGTCACTAATTCTATCCAGAATTATTTTTATTTTATCCAGAGTTCAATCACCAAGGCTTTAAAAAAAACTTCTTCCTTAATTCAGGAAACAATGTGACGTAATGTGCAGCCATCCGTAAGAGACAATGACTGGAGCCGCAACTGCTTACGTCTTAATAACAAACCATAGGCAGCCAAGGAGGGTTCCATACAACCAGGTGCCCACATACAGTTTCCTTCCAGACTCTGTCATGAGCATGGCAGCAGTCAAACTCCCCAACATCAACACTGATGGTAAAGTCTTCTTGACACTTAGTCTGGAATGAACACTTTTCCCAGGAAATTTATTTCTTCTTTCTGGATCTGGTGAATCATAGAATTCTATGAGCAACCTATGGCCAGAATGAAAAACAACAGAATTAACACTTTCAGTTTTGGACATTTTGGTTTTTGAAACAAACAAAAAAATCATCTATTGGATACTAATTACTTGCTTGAGCAAGTACAGTTCCTTAGAACTCCACGAGAGATATTAGAGACAGTGTGGTAGGGAATCCACCACTAGTTTACGGTATCATTGTAGTCTCTCCTTACCACATGGGAAGTGAAACTCAAAACACTTGGTTTAAGTGTTTGATGAGGACTTTGGGAGGGAGATGTGTGAGTATGTTTATTTACTTTTATTTTATGTGTATGGGTGCTTTGCTTGTGTGTAAACCATGTGCATGTCTTGTGTCTGCAGAGGCCAGAGAGGGTGTCAGAGAGTTACAGACAACTGAGAGTCACCATATGGTTGCTGGGAAAGGAACCCAAGTCCTCTGGAAGAGCAGCCAATGCTCCTAACTGCTGAGTCATCACTCCAGTTCCATTTTTGTTTTTCACCTCTGCATCTGTAAGAACTTACAGCACCCTGACTCACGTGACCAGTGGCCTACCAGCCTCACTCCTTCCTCTCATAGCTCTCATTCCGTCCGGACTAAAGAAAAGGGCTGAGGCTGTAGCTCAATGGTACAGCACCTGCCTATCAAGTGTGAGCCCCTGGATCCAATCTCACAAAAAGAAGCCTTCAAAGAAGTTAAAGAAAAGAAATTCTTACAATATACATTGAGTTTTCATTCTGTGGCAGTCTGAGTAAGAATGTCCCCGCAGTTTCATATATATGAATGCTTAGTCACCAGGGAATGGTAACCATTTGAAAAGGATTGTAGAGGTGTGGCCCTGTTGGAGGAAGTGTGCCACTGGGAGTGGGGCTTTGAGGTTTCCAAAGTCCATCCAGGTCGTCTCTCTCAGTCTCTATGCCTGTGGATCAGAATGTAACTCTCTACTACTTCTCCAGCACCATCCTGTCTGAGTGCTCCAATGCTCTCCATCATGATGATAATGGACTACATTGCTGAAGCTGTAAGGAGGTCCCTAATTAAATTCTTTCTCTTACAAGAGTAGCTTTGGTCATGGTGACTCTTCACAGCAACAGAACATTGACTAAGACACCTCCCAAAAGTTCATATTCCCACGTAATTATAAAAACAGCGGGGACAAATAAAGAGCACAGTGTGTTAATTCTCATCTGACTTAAACATGTAAGGACACAGCAGCAGGACAGGACCGACAGCACAGGAAGCGTTCCCACTGCCCTATGGGCACATTCATAGGGGTAATGACGAGTACATGTTTGTTGTGGAATATTATTTTAAAATGTGTTACATTTGTTTATGCTGTGGAACATTTATTTAATGATGCAAGGATGTGTTACATTCTTTATGTTGCATTTGTTATACTCTGTGAAGCTGTGCCTGTCTAAAACACCTGATTGGTCTAATAAAGAGCTCAACGGCCAACAGCTAGATAGGCGAAAGGATAGGCAGAGCTAGCAGGCAGAGAGAATAAATAGGAGGAGAAATCTGGGAGGAAAAGATTGAGGAACAAAAGATAGGAGGAGAGGAGGACTCCAGGGGCAGCCACCCAGCTACACAGCCAGCTATGGAGTGAGAAGTAAAAAAAGGTAAAGCCTGGGAGCATAAGGTAAACGATATAATTTAAGTAAAGAATAGCTGGCTAGAAACAAGCCAAGCCAAGGCTTCATCTTCTTAAAAAACAATAAGTCTCCATGTGATTTATTTGGGAGTTGGGTGGTAGGCCCCCCAAAGAGCGAAAGAGTCAAAGAGTAAAAACACATGTTAAGTGTCTATAACAGAAACAGGTGGGTATTAAACACTGTCCAGTCCTTTTCTGAAAACACATTTTCATATGAAGGTACATAGGTCTTCTTACACTGATCCTATCAGCAAACAATCCTGAATTGATGGGTTGAAAAAAATTACGTAAGGTACTAACTACTTTTTACTAACTCAAAAAAAGGTGATAATTTCACTATGAAAATATCAACTGCCCCCTCCTCTTCCCATAAGCACACTGTGCTTCACTGTCTCCACCTGCACGGTCTTGCTGTTCCCTGTGCAGCTAGCACAGAGGAAAGGCTCCTCCTTTACCTCACACAGCAGTCTACTCAGGAAACACTGCAGGTAGGCCACCTGCACACAATCTTCACAGTAGCTCCTAACATTTAAAATGTGAGCACAGAAGGAGAGAGTAAGTTTTAACCTGAGTTCATGAAAAGCATCCCTGAAACAAGAGTCTAGTTTCACTGTAGCTGTGCCGTTAGCTTTGAAAGAAGCCTCCTAGTTACCGTGCTGAGTTGTCATTGTACAGAAACCAACAGCCGTACTGATGCAGAAACGGTAAAGTTCATTTTTATACAAGAGCAATTAAACATGTTACACAGGAATATGAAAGGTTTTATCCATGTGAGTTTGATTAGTATTTCGTAAATAATGAAACACCTCTTTTCAAACTGGTTACTATAGTGAAACTGAGTTGCACTGCAGTTTCTGAATGCTGGAACTGTTACCACTTACTTATCTTTGATCTCAAAACGCTCATGAAGCCATTTTTTCATGTGTTCTTGTTCCTCTGGAACTTCATTTTTGTCTATACGATCAAAGTGAATATGAAGTTTGGGACACTGTTTGCAGAGAAACTCTAACAAAGAAGAAAAAGATTTCAGGTCTTACTACTCTAGAATCCATGATTATATAATGTAACTTACAATGAAAACAAAGCGATAAAGATCCCAAAAAGTTGGAAAAAACCCTATAAACTATGACTTACAGTATTAAGCTCAGGTTAAAATCTGTATTAACACACAGCACTTGCTAACCCCGAGTCAGTTATCACTGACTTCTAACAGCCGGACTGAAGAAGCAGCCATCTCTCATCTAGGTATAGAAGTGTCAAAATGAAACCTATCACTTTGTATACTAAAGTTTTTTTAAATATTTAAAAGTTAAAAATCTCTTATATTGTAGTGCTTTTCCTCTTTTACTGTCAAAGTATGTATGAAAGCTGGCTGGTTTTGACCATCAAACCGCTTCATGTTCCTAGGGTTAGGATTGCATGTCTTCCTTCTGCTTCTTCCTCCTTAGTACTGGGGATTACAATAGAGCTCTTCTGTCTGTGACAAACGTGTGTTTCTCCCCCTCTCTGCTCTCTTCCCTCTAAGATGAATACTCTGAAAGGGGCCAGAAGCTTCCAGCATTCCTTTGTTCTTCTGCCCCATGTTCAAATGCTGAGGCTGTGGCTACAGTTACGTAAGCTATTCTCACTCTTTGGTTGTGACACAGGCAACAGTTCTGAGTTCCTAAAATCTAGTACATGCTTGAAAAGGGTACAATTTCTTCTTGTCCGATAATACAAATGTCCTTCCCAAGCATGCTATAAAGAAGGCTTAAGACAAAAAACATTTTAACAAAGGGTGGGAGAAGAGGGAAGCTAATATAGTGACTTGAGTTCCAGGCCAGCTTGGTCTACACAGTGAGTTCCAGGAGAGTCAAAGCTACACAGTAGGACCCTGCATTGAAAAATAAAACCAAACCAAGCAAATCAAAACAAAACAAAAACAGAAAAAGAAGTTTCAAGGTGGGTTGGGCAATGGTGGCGCAGGCCTTTAACCCCAGCACTCGGGAGGCACAAGCAGGTGGATCTCTGTGAATTCGAGGTCAGCCTGGTCTACAGGGCAAGTTCTTGAACAAAAAAAGCTACAGAGAAACCCTGTCTTGAAAAACAAGACAAAACAAAACAAAACAAAAAAAAAAAAACAAAAAAAGAAAAGAAAAAGAAAAAGGAGATTCAAGGCTACCACTGACCACGCTGCGCCTCCGGACACTGCTAGCTGAGCAGCTTGTCCTCACATCTTGTAGATCTTCCCAGTCTCACATGTGAGCCTCTGGCAGGAAGAAGCCAGGCTAACGACCTCCACAGACTCATCAGAAACATAAAATTTAGAATGCTGGGTGAAATTTCAAATGTTATACATGAGTAACCACCAGTGAGAGAAACAAAGGAAGGCCAGCTGCAGGGCTAGAACATCTTAACACAGGGCGGCTGAATCAGGAGGACTGCTAATTCGAGGGTAGAGCTAAATAGCAAGCACCACACTTCTTCCACAGGAAAGCACTGATTAACTGAAAAAGGAAGAGAGAGAAACGAGTCTGTATCTTACCTGTACCATGTACTGCTCGGACTCTAATACACAGAAATATGGACTTACCAGTCATGGACGGTGTATTTGAGTATTTTCCTGACCCTTTCTCATTCCCTTCGTAAACCACTGTGACATCGTAAATTGCATCTAAATGACTCTTCATAGAATCAAAAGCAACATGAGTTGCCTTTATCCTTGGTGTCAGCACGTGTTTTAATACTGGAAGGCCTAGAAAGCAGGAGGATTCAGTGTGGTCATGATTAGGAATACATTAAGTTCAACATCTATATTACTTATCAACTACCGCAAATAGACAGGAATTAAAAGTTTAAAGCCCTAACCTCACATCTATGAGCTGGCTACGGGCTTAGAATGCTCTCTTGCATTTCCATCTTCACTAGGTCAAACTGCACTGAACAAATATCCATTAAACATCTACATGAATGAGACACTCTAATGGAAGCTGGGAAAGGCTGGCCTCAGGAAGCTCATGACTCCCTTGGACCCTTCTCTTTGGTAAGCCCTGAGAGAAAAGATACACAGAAAGGCAACGACATCTTGCCAATCACTCAACTTTTTCTAGGAGTAGAATTCATCACTCCCTCCACTGTCTTCTAATGTGTTCTCTGCTTGACTCGAGTATGTACTGACAATTTCACAGGAAACACGAGGTCTTACTGTGAAATCTGAACAGTGACTAGGGAGAACCCGACTGGAAGTTTCTACTGCCTCTCTCCAGGGAAAGTGCTGCATAAGGAAGAAGAACAGTTGCAGTATGGTGGGACTGTCTACAGAAGAATTTTTAAAATGCAGGGTGGTGTGGGAAAGAAAACGATTCCCACAACCACATATCTGACTTCAGTCCCCAGGGCAGAAAGAGTATAATTTATTCACACACTTGTACCAAAGTCTGAAAAGTCGACCAAGTTGAGAGACTTTTCTTGTCAGCTAAGTCCTTCTTTGCCACTAGAGGCCATCCGATCTCAGGACTTTATATAGAATTACCCTGTCAGACCTGCAGGTTGCGTGTTACCTTAAACAGGATTATTAATTTTTTGACAGACCCAGGCTGGCCTCAAATTAATAAGCCTCCCACCTTAGATCCCAGGCACTGGGTTCATAGGTACGCACTACCAATTCTGGCTCGACCAATATTTCTATTAGATGATTAGAACTGGAAGCCCAAAAAGCAGGTTAGATGTGATAGCAACATATAAGAAGAAATGTATGCATGCCTGTCTGTACCTATTAACACCCAGTCCTCCAGTGTCCAATTATTACAACCACACCAACAATGCTCAGAAATCAGACAAAGCCTAGCCTTTTGTGACTGACCAGAAGAAAATTCTCATCCTTCAGGGATGTCAGAAAGCATCTCCTCTAGTCTTCATGCAGAAAGAACTGTGATCCCAACCAAGTGCTTCTCAATTCTGAAGCATGATATGGCTGGCACACACTATCCTGAAACTAACTGATTCCTCCTAGTGTATTTATCCAACTCCTAGATCTATACTCAAAGAACTTGAATGAAAATGTCACAATGAACCCGTATTTTATGAACTAATTTTAAAAAGTAATAATTAAAAAAAGAAAATTGTCTAAAAAGTAGACAAGAATAAACAAACAAACTCTCCTTGTGGATGATTATCTAGTACTTGCTCTGGCATTGACTCTGTCTTGTTTTCATCTCCAATTCACAGCGTGGGAGTATATGCCATAGCAAGCATGTGAATCTAACCTCTGCGACACAAATTACTAAGAATCTACTTAACTCTGTAAAAGTTCAGACACTTTCTCATTCAGTTCTTATAAGAAACACATATTCTCACGGGCTGGAGAGATGGCTCAGAGGTTAGGAGCAATGACAGCTCTTTCAGAGGTCCTGAGGTCAATCTCCAGCAACCACACATGGTGGCTCACAACCATCTATAATGAGATCTGGCTCCCCCTTTTGACATACAGGCAGAACACTGTATACATAATAAATAAATAAGTAATCTTAAAAAAGGAAAAAAAAACCCATATTCTCCAGTAAGAACCTAAAGAAAACAAAGATTGTTCTCTTTAAAAAGTACTTTTCTGAATATAGTCAAAATTCTACTTACCCCGTTGAGCAGCAAATGCCTGACTGGCTGAAAGGACTTTTGTCTGTGTTCTATTATATCTTGTTCCCTCTGGAAAAATCACAAGATACATCTGTGGAGCATAAATAAACTTCAGTTTGTGTGATTCCACTGCTGTAACCACTAACGTAGCAATTTAAACTGTGACTGTTGAAGTAGATTTTCACATGGTGAGAAAATGTGTATTTATTTACAAACAACCTTTACTTTCAGCAAAGTTACCAAAATGTAGAGATTCAATTAAGGCTGACCACAACATAGACTACAATAAAACATAGCTCTACATTTATGGTAAAGTAAACCTTTAAAAATCTATAACTATATCAGGTAGTGGTGGCACACACCTTTAATCCCAGCATTCAGGAGGCAGAAGTAGATGGATCTCTATGAGTCAGCCTGGTCTACAGAGTGAGCTCCAGGACAGGCTCCAAAGGTATACAGAGAAACTTTATCACAAAAAACCAACAAATAAATAAATAAATTTTTAAAAAACAGCTATGACTGTTTAAGAACTAGTTTTAGAACATGCTAATAGTCACTAAGAAAAAATTTGGACACAAAATGCTGCTATGTGATTAATGACCCTTCAGTTTCCCAAAATAAATTATGACATTTTATTTTTGCACATATTAAAATTTTATTAGCACATATTAACTGTACATGTTAGTGGAATCTGCTATATATCTGCACAAACACACAGAGCACACTCATCATATCCAACCTCAATCTTCCACCATACATGGGTGCAGCTAGCAATGTCCTTAAGTGTCAAGGCTAACAGTACATCTATTTGAAAACTGCTTATAAATTTAATACTTGTGTTTCAAAAGTCTCATACAATAGTCCATTTTATAGAGCCCCCTGAGGGCATTTTACATCACTTCTTTTTACAGCAACCTCATACTCATTACATAAAGCTGAGAATACACTAATTGTAAACAAAATGAGGTAGCCAGACAGATATAAAGTCATCAATTGATAGAAGATTTTATGCTTAATATCTTGGGAAAATAAAAATATTATGACCACATAATAAGAAAACTTCTTGAGAACTGAGTAGTGTAAAAACATTTAACTGATGGCCAACAGACAAACTCATCAAGTAAAAAGAATAATATAGAAAACAACAGAAGAGGGATTCATGAGAGAAAACTATACCCATTTATCCATGCTCAAATGACACCGAACAATACTATTTCCCAACACAGCTAGTTATAAGCAACGTTTTTTTCTAAGCAATCTGTGGATATAAAACTCCTACTGAATGAACCTATAGGAGAATATAAATTTGTTTATGAATAAGTTCACAAGAAGTGCAGTGATTCATCTAAAAAGCTGGTATAATGTACAAGAACATCTCTGCAATTCTCCATTTTCAGCTCCTTTTGTCCCAAAGCGCTGGCTGGCACTGTAAACAGCTGATCCCCAGCTGTGGCATTATGCTGGGAGCTTGTAGGGCCTTGAAAGTATGGGGCCTAACTGAAGGAAGTCACCAAAGGGCAGGCCTTGAGAATTGTAACCCAGTTCCACTTCCTGTCCCACCCAGACAGGAGCAAACATCCTCTGGTGGCCTCAGCTCTATCAGAGTACCAGCCCTGCATGATGGAATATACCAACAAAGCACAGGCCAAAATAAAGCCTCTCTCAAGCTGCTTCTTATTAGAAATTTAACTAGGGTACTAAGCAGAGTGGGTAATACAGAAAATTAATACAAAGAGTGGTGTTACTGAAGTTGGACTAGATTTTGCATCATAAGATAGCCATGAACCTACAGAGCTAGGGATGAAATGTGCCTGTTAGGATGTAAAATATCCACCACAGGCTCAGGAATGCGAACATTTGGTTTCCAGGTGGCAGGTGCTGTTCTGGATCCTGTGGAACCTTCAAGACATGGAGCCCCGCTGGAAGAAGTGGAACTCTGTGCAGTGAGTCCTGAGATTTACAGGCTGACCCTGCTCCCTGCCCTGTCCCCAGATCTACAGAGATCTGAGCAAGCAGCCTCATGTTCTTGCTGCCACAGCTATGTCGCCATGTTTCTCAGTCATGATACTGTCAAACCGCACGTCAAAAGACACCCTTCTTCCTTTACATGACTTCCTGTCAGGTATTGGGTCATATCTATGAGAAAGTAATGCAGTGCCCATGCAAATACATTAGTTTTTGCTCAACCAGAGAAGACTCTTTAGAATTCATTTTTACTGCCAAATTTGTTGTTGTTGTTTGTTTGTTTGTTTGTTTAGACAGAAGTATTTATTTGGGTTTAGGATTCCAGGGGGAAAAGGGTCCAACATGATAGGGAATTGTGGAAGCAGACAGGAGATATGGCATCAGGAAAAGTGAGAACTCGCATCTCCAACTTTGAGCAGGTAGCAGAGTTTTAACTGGGAACAGTGTGGGGCTTTTAAGTCTCAAAGTCCTTTCCCAGTTATATACTGACTCCAGAAAACCCATGCTTTCTAAACTGATCCAATCAGCATGACTACATGAGAACCAAGTTTTCAAGTATCTGAGCCTCAAGGGGAGATTGCCTTGCAAACTACCACACATAATGTTTTTGTTTATGTGATGGGACCTGAGCATGTGGACCTCTTTTATTATTTCTGTATTTGATATGGGTGAAGGAAGCTGGGAAAGCCCACAGTATGTGAAGGAGGATTGAGCCTGAACAATGGGCATAGCATAGAAAAGATGAAGTCAGACAGACAAAGGGAACTAGGTTGGTGAACAGAATGTGGATCCTCGTCTAATCCTGAAGGTTAGGGTTATTCTGGACAGGACAGATGGGACTAGGCTTGGGCGCAGAGTCTGGCATTCACCAGAGCCTTGATGTGAGAGTCTGTGTCTAGTCTTATTGTATCTTGTTTTGTTAAGTTCAGTTGGTATCCCTGAGAGGCCTGGTCTTTTTGAAAAAGAAACAGAGAAGGAATGGATTGGGGGATGGGGAGGAGTGTGTGTGTGTGTGTGTGTGTGTGTGTGTGTGTGGTGGTGGTGGTGGATAACTGGGAGGAGTTGTGGGAAGACGAACTGCAGTTGGGGATGTATTGTATGAGAGAAGAATAAATTTAAAAAGAAGCAGGCAAAATAAGTGTTCCTAGGGCAGTTGCCAAGGTTGGGCTAGTTTCATATCTTATTCCAACAATCTTTTTCTAAGTTTGCTTGTTGTACTATATAAATAAGGCCAACCCAATTTCCCAGAAAATTAGAAAACAACCTTCCTCAAGACCCAGCAATACAACTTTTGGGTATATATCCAAAGGATGCTCAATCATGCCACAAGGACATATGCCCAACTATATTCACAGCAGCATTGTTTGTCATAGCCAGAACTTGGAAATAACCTAAATGCCCCTCGACTGAAGAATGGATAAGGAAAATGTGGTACATTTACACTTACTACATAGCATAAAAAAATGACATCTTGAAATCTGCAGGTAAATGAATGGAGCTAGAAAACATCATTTTGAGTGAGGTAACACAGACCCAGAAAGACAATTATATCATATGTACTCACTCATAAGTGGTTTTTAAACATAAAGCAAAGAAAATCAGCCTACAAATCACGATCCCAGAGAACCTAGACAACAATGAGGACCCTAAGAGAGACATACGTGGATCTAATCTACATGGGAAGTAGAAAAAGACAAGATCTCCTGAGTAAATTGGGAGCATGGGGACCATGGGAGAGGGTTGAATGGGAGGGGAGAGGCAAGGAGTGGAGAAAAATATAGAGCTCAATAAAAATCAATTAAAAAAAAAACAAAGCAAAAAGAAAGCCATTAAAAAAATAAGGCCAACCATTCCAATAGAAAATCTTGATTTTCCCTTTGTACCTCCTCTATATTCACAATATTTTTCTTCCCCTCTTTATTAAAAATAGTGGTGGCACATGCCTTTAATCCCAGCACTTGAGAGTCAGACACAGACAGATCTCTGAGTTCGAGTTCAGCCTTGGAACAGAGCAAGTTCCAAGACAGACAAGGCTATACCAAAAAAAAAAAGCTCAAAAAAAAACCCAAAACACAAAAAGAGAAAAAAATAAATGAACAAAGAAATCTTTTTAAAGTTGGCTACATGTACGAACCTCTTTGCCACTGACCAAAAACTGGTATTTATCATCTTTTCTCAATTGAGACTCTGTACATAAAATCCCTACTCAAGAACAGGACGAATGAGAGCCACAGAGAAAGCTTGTCAACTACATCACACAGAAATGTTCATGTTTTTTGTTACTACCCATTCATTGCTTTTATCTGTTGAATTCTTACAAGAACCAGCTTCATTCTCTTCTATGATGATCTTCTATGTAATTTTAAAAATATGTATTCAAGGCACAAAGTATCATTTTAAAGAGATGCTTCAGCCTCTGATGGAAAAGTGGACATCTGTTTTACACTAAAAACTAGTCAAAATAAAGAGCTATTTAATAATTATCAGATTTCTAAATACATTTAAATAAAGCCTATTATTGAAATGTAATTTTCTATTAAAAACAGCCTTTCTCTAGAACTGCATAGATTCACCTACTTTTTCAGAGTCTCAGTCTCTTATTTCAAAGTGAGAGATTCTTAAAGGACTAGGAAACTCCAAGCAGCAATTTGTATGTTCTTAAAGTTGCCTTCTAATTTTGTTCAAAAAACTAATTTACTAGCTTTTAAAGTCAACACATTTATACAGCAGTAACTTTAGAAGTTTAAATCTTGATTTACTCTATAATACGTTTACAAGAAAACTGCAAAATGTAATTTTCTTCCTCACCAAGCTTATTATTAACCATGGAAATGCAACATGTACACACACACACACACACACATTATGGAAGGAAAAACAGTAAGCTGCCTCTTTGAGGTGTCTATGCCTGTATCTCAGAAACTTGTGACAACAGCGTAGTCACATGACAAGACAAGGGGAATTCAATGGACCATACAGGACAGATTACCATAAACTACGAAGGAGGGCCAATAAAATCACAAAGGATCTGCCAAAGGAAAAGCACTAGTGAAGAATCAGACCAAGAAAGTGCCATTAAGGAAAACACAGAGCAGTTGCTGCTAGTTTTGGATATGTCCTGAAACTATGCGACAGGCAACAGCTAAAAGCTGGAAAGTCAAGAATGTTATTCTTTACGGTCTCCAGAAAGAACTATAACTTTTAGATCAGGCATACAGAATCTGAAACATCCAAGAATTTTCCAAAACAAGTGATATCAAAACACAAAACCAAGCTCAGAGAGGCTCATCTAGGCTTAAAACAAAAACACACAAACCTATAATACTTTGCTTAAGACAGAGGCAAAGACCAAGTGATGAAAGCAGCCAGAGAACGGGACCCAACACACAGAACAGTCTCCACACTCAGCACGCTGATGGCCACTTTACTAGAAGACACAAAAAACAGGCAGACTGTGAATACAAGGCCAACATCCATGTAAAAATGAGGTGGTTTATTTACTTCATAAATACAACCCCACAGCAGAATACACAAGAAACTTTCAAGCAATCATCTCTGGTTGGGTTGACTGGCGAGTTAGAGGAAAGAAGGGTCACTCAAGTCCATACCTTCATATTTTACATTTTCAAAAAAAGCACAATTCTGACTACTAAAGATTTAAAAAAAAAAAAAACAAACCTCAATTCTACTAAACTTTATAACACTTCAAACTAAGGCATCCCCTTTTCCATATTACAGCTGATCTCTACAGAGTGCTGGAAATGCGGAAAGGGCCACTGCTCATCATTACACCCATTCCACCATCTCCAGATCAGGTGCAGTTTCCTACTTCAGAAAGTTCTGGAAGGTACTCAGAAGTAGACAATGATCATACCAGCCAATAAGCAGCTCTGGCTGTTGCCTGGTAAGTGAAGGGCATGAGGGAAGCAGCAGATGAGAGGAAAAGGAAAAGAACTCTCCAAGCTCTCACCAGAGTCATGTTACAGAGGAGTCATGGAAAAAGGCATTCGGCAGCAATTAGCAATCTTGAAATAGAAGGCCGAAATTTTTATTTGTTTGTTTGTTTGTTTGTTTATTCATTCATTTATTTATTTATTCCCCTTTAAGGGAAAAAGTTCTGTAAAATATTCACTCTAAACGATTTTTCATCAGGAGACTCATTATTTCTTGTAAACCTTAATTTATGCAATAAAAATCTAAATTTACACAAACAAAAACAGCTGTTCTTCTAAAACTGAATGAAATATGAAGATTAGCTCTTCGGTGCTTAAATGCAAGGCAGCCAATGAACCTCCACGTTCTGGAGAGTAGAAGACATACACTTGCCTTTCTGAGTCAATATTGATAGTTACTAGGAAAAAACCTTAAAATCATTAGTAGCAATCTTTCCTGACAGCTAAGAGGACAGTTTATCTCAACAAAACTCTGAATTAGTTATTTCATGTGTGGTAATATGTTTTTAAAATGACTGAGATTTTAACTTCTTAAATTGCAAACTGAGTTGAGGAATGGAAAAGGGCACTCTTACTGGTGTTCCTGCGTTCACGTAGCTCTGAAGCATGTTTCTCATTTCTTTCTCATTAAATTTGGCACTTCGCTTTACATAAATTCCTCCATGCTGATACATAAAAAAGAAAAAGAAAAGAAGCAATTACTCTTTAAATAACTAATTGTCATAGGTATCAAAAAGGCAACTTTACTCCCAACAAGTAAAGAATGAAACTACATCTCAGAACTCAAGCTACAGTTAATATTTAAGTATTACCATCTATACAATACCATAAAAATTGATGTGGGAGTCCCCTCTGTATGCTGTGAATATGCTTTATTACCATTGGTTAATAAAGAAGCTGCTTTGGCCTACTGCAGGGTAGAACAGAGCTAGGCGGGAAAACTAAACTGACTGCAGAGAGAAAGAGAAAGAAGGTGGAGTCAGGAAGATGTCATGTAGCTGCTGAAGAAAAAAGGCATCAGAACCTTTCTGGTAAGCCACAGCCTCGCTGTGATACACAGATTAAAGGAAATGGGTTCATTTAAGATGTAAGAGCTAGCTAAAAATATGGCTAAGTTGTTGGCCAAACAGTGTTGTAATTAATAAAGTTTTTGTGGTGATTATTCAGGTCTGGGTGGCCAGGAAACCACAGAACAGTCTCTGATTACAGGAAATTCTATTTCTACAGAACCTGAATAAAAATGTGTGTTGCACTGTGCTGAAAAAATACACAATTTTGTCAGCAGTTAAAATTTTCTTTCTAAAAAAAAAAATTCTTTCTTTAAAAGATTTAATTCAACAACTTTTTGTGATGGAACTTAACTCACTGATTTCTACTGTCATTAACAAAGTTAATTAAAAGTATCTTTAAAATGACCACACTCCCAGGACTGGAAAGATGGCTCAGTGGATAAGAACACTTGCTGCTCTTTCAGAGGACCAGGATTCAGTTCCCAGCACCCACATGGTTACAACTATCTCTAACCCAGTTGCAAGGGATCTAGCATCTTCTTCTGACCTCCATAACCACAAAGAATACATATATGCAAGACACTCAATCACATAAAGTAAATTAAAAATAATAAATAAATAAAAGAGGCCACTGGCCAGGAGGAAAGAGCATAAATTAAAAAAAAAACTACGCTTACAATCTTTGAAAATTAAAATATGGACAAAGTGCCAGAAATACATATATAGAAGACAGTCAAGCATACAGAATAAATTAAAAACAAGGAAAGAAGGAAAGGACGGAAGGACAGAAGAAAGGAAGGAGAAAGAGAAAGAAGGAAGTAAAAGAAAGAGAGAAGGAAGGAAGGAAGGAAGGAAGGAAGGAAGGAAGGAAGGAAGGAAGGAAGGAAGGAGAAATGAAGAAATGAAGAAAGGAAGAAAACAAGCAAGTAAGCAAGTTGGTTACTGGCCAAAGTGGAAGGGCATTAAAAAATAATTTTATAAAAAGTCTACATTTACAACCTTTAGGGAATTAAAATATGGACTCAGCTACAGAGATTTATGTGACATCATTACAGACTACATTTTGTTCCCCCAAAATCTTATATTGAAGCCCAAACTTTCATAGCAACTGTATATGGAAATAAGGTCCTTACGAAAATAATTACAGTTAAGCGAAATACACTAGCTAAGGCCCTGCTAGAATGTGCATACGTGGGAAAAAGACCAGCTCAGAACACAGGGAGAAGGCGAGTCTGCAAGTCAAAAATGTGGGTCTTGGGAGAAAGCAGCACTACACACACCCTGATCTTGAGGAGACTTCAACCATCTTAACTGTGAGAAAGCATTCACACTTCATCTACTGAGCTCAGTTTCTGGTTTTATTTCCTACAGATCACTAATTACATTTAAATCAATTTTTTAGCTTTTTAAAAATAATTTGTTTTTGTTTTATATGTGTTAGTGCTTTTGCCTTCATGTCTGTCTGTGTGTGCGTGTCAGATCCTCTGGAACTGGAGTCACAGACAGCTGTAAGCTGCTATGTGGGTGCTGGGAATTGAACTCATGTTCTCTGGAAGAGCAGTTGGTGCCTTTGGACTGCTGAGCCATCTCTCCAGCCCCTTGAATCAATTTATTAACATAACTGATTGTCAAATTTTATGCCTTTTAATTTTCTATTTGGCATCTAGGTATTTGTCTTTCTGCTACTTCATTTAACTCTCTGGAAAACCAGACATGTAGAGTCCCCACTAAGAATGAGAGCTGCAGAGACAGCTTAGTTGGGAAAGCACCTGTCTCACAAGTATGAGGACCCAAAGGATAACTGGGCACAGCAGTCCACACTTTTTATGTCAGTAATGGCAAGGAGGTAGACAGGTAGTTGGGGCTAGCTGGCTGGCTAGCCTGGCCGACACGGCAAAGATCTGTCTAGGAGATTGTCTCAAACAAAGAGTGGAAGATGCCTGAGCACGACAGTTGTGCCAAAAATCGTCCTGACCTCCACATGCATCAATATATGCACGCAAGCATGCACGTGTGCGCACACACAGAATTCTAAATAAAAATACTTAAATTTAAAATAAGCCATTAAAAAATCATTTTAAAAACATCTGTATTGAGGCTGTAACTCAGTAGAAGGCTATTTGCCTAGTATGCACGAGGCCCCACGTCCATTCACTAGTATCATACATAAAACAAAGAAAATCAGATACATTTTCACTAAATTGTGTTAAATTTGAAATAAAAGAGCAAAGACAAAGGTTACCTGAGCAAAGTAAAACCCATACAATGGAATCCATTTTAACCTGTCTTTCAGCACATAGCGCACATGTCCAAGGGCATCCTGTCGGGCAGCCAGCATGTCTGCAATAATCCAGTCAACTGTAAGACAGAACCCAGTCAGTACTAGCCAAAGTCAACTCCAGTCTTCCCCTCGCAGAAACAAAAACTCTTCACAATATAATTGGAAACATGACTGGAGTCAGAGGCAGAAGGATACAAGCTCAAAGTCAGTCTGTCTACACAGCAAGTTCAGGCCACGTAGGGCAACACAATAAGAGCTGTCTTAAAATAGTTTTTTGTTTTTAATTTTTAAAAAGAAAATACGATTAAAATGCTTAAAACAAAGCCAACTCCAGACACATTAAAAATACATAAATAAACCTTAAGTCAAAGAGAAGTTATCTTTTCCCATTTCTTAAAAGGCCTTTTATTTCAGGAATAAAACACAAAAGCTATTTTTTACATACGGCTGGTAAGATTTTGCTCAGTGGTTAAGGACACTTGCTACTCTTGCAGAGGACACAGGTCTGGTATCTATACAGTGGCTCTCTGCCTCTAACTCCAGTTCCAGGGGATGTGACGCCCTCCTCTGAGTTCCAAGTGTACCAGACATATATATGGTGCATATACATATATGCAGGGACTCACACATCCACATAAAAATAAAAAAACAATGTTTAAAAACATACAAAATATTAAGGAATTCAACAAAAGAATATACAAAGAATAAAGTCACTTTTAATTAAGGCTAAAAAACAGAAATGTTTCTCTTTTAATGAAGAATGGGAAATCATCAACAAAAATGGCAAATGAAACAAGTGCAGCTAAATATTCTATACACACAAGGTCTGACAGGAGGCTACCACACTGCATCTTCACTAGTGGCTTCCTAGATGCAGTGTGCAATTGTAAGGAGGATCTCATGTGACTTACAACAGTGCTGGGTAGATACGCACTCCTTATTTCTCAGCTTTTGAAACTGTGGGTTGCATACTCATAAGGAATCATGTAACTGATTGTAGGGGTTGAAAAAACTTTGGGAATAAAAGTTTTTAACAATGACCAAAACTTAATTCAAAATCAAATGCACAATGAACCAGGTGTCTCTGGCATCTCTCCCTGACGCTGTATTGTGCAATGCCACTGCGGCTTTCATTCTGAACACGAGACACATGTGATTCTTACCGCGCATGCTGTCACACCATGCAATGCCAACCAATGGTGCCAGAAACATGACTCAGATTCAAGACCAGTAGAACATTAAATGTAGTGCATTTAACAGAGAGACAGACAGACAGACACATACATACACAGTTTCCTGCAGACACAAAAATATGATGGCTTAATTACAGAAAATATTTAATATTTCACCACTACCATTCCTCAGACTGTAAGTACCAAACTAGTATATCTTTCAATTCTACTGCATTTGAATGTTTGATTTTAAAAACTTGCTTGTTAGTTTGAGTTTCATTAAATGAATTTTGGCCTAGTAATAGAATGGAATTTCAAACAATTTCTGAAACAGCACTAAACATATTGTGCATGTTCTACTGTGCATTTATGGAAACATTCTTAGCAATAACAACTACAAAATCTGAAAAACACTGGAATGGCCTACATCTTGTAGTATCAAATACTCAACCAAAGTTAACTAATTCCTTATATACAATTTACCCATATCATTAATATGCAGATTGCCTTTCATCTTTAATAAATGCTAAAATTATATGTATTTAAAAATAAATCTTTCTATTATTTATTATTAGTGAATGTTGGCCATATTATACTATATACTTGGGGGTCACATAAACTTTCTCAGGTGAAATAAATAAAGAAAAATAAGAAAGTGTCCTAAAAAGCAGAAAAATTTAAGACAAGACTAAATGGCTGCTGGGACCACTAAATGGATAACTCCTCGAGAATGGAAACATCAGGGTAATAGGTAAGAAAAAGTCTGCTGGGATTTAAAGAGGAATTCTAGGGTATACAACAGGGATGTTGTTGAGAATCTGAAATGAAGTGTATTCGGGGCCATCAAAATGAGACCAAAAGGAGTCAATTAGAGGAGACAATATTTGATTTAAAGCAACAAATGATTCCAGTCAGTCCAACAGTGCAGGTCTGCAATCCTAGCTATTTGGAAGACTGAAGCAGAAGGATCGTGAACTCAAGGCCCACCAAGATAACTTAATGAGTCTATGCTTCAAAATAAGAAATAAAAAGGACTGGGGATGAAGCAATGGAGTAAGTGCTAATCCTGTGTGTGGCCCTGGGCTCTATCACAGCATGAAAGAAAGTGTGTGTGGGGATGGGGGGGGGGGTTGGCAAACTATAGAAAATATTATAAAGCATGGAATTTAAAATCTTATCAAAATGGGGCACTTTTCTACAACTCTGGTATAATTCTTGATCATTTAAAATTCTTTCCTAATGCACGTACAAATGGAATATCCTAAGATTTTATCCCTTTAAATGAATAATCAACTTTCAAGAAAAGTCTTAAAAGTTATTTCTAGTTATATTTTAGAAATATAACCAAGCCTATGAGAAGGATACTTAATGTATTGTCTTCATAAGCACTGAGAACCTACTCTCTGAAGGCTCTATGGCAGTGGTTCTCAACGGGCCTATGCTATGACCCTTTAACATGGTTCCTCAGGCTGTGGTGACCCCCAACCATAAAATTATTTCATTGCTGTTACGACTATAATTTTGCTACTGTTATGATTCATAATGTAAATATCTGATATGCAACTCCAAATGGGTCACAACCCACAGGTTGAGAAACACTAATCAATGGTGCTTCCTTGCCAGTGTATATCCTGGATTTAAATGAGATAAATAGCTAAAAGCCAAATTTGATATCTCTTCCTCATATTTTGTTTTTTTTAAGCTTAGGGAATAATAAATCCATTTTTATATTTAAATAAGCAGTTATATTTTGGACTCCAGTGTACCTTCTAAGAACTATTAAGAGACTATATAAATATTTCAAAATATGTCATGTGTACAAGATAAATTGCCCTAAACCATGACTTTAAATTTGAAAAATTTAGTAAAACCACTTAAATAATTTACAAGCTGGGTATGGTGGCAATTCCTTTAATCTCAGAGCTGCGGAGGCTGAGGTAGGCAAATCTCGATGAGTTCAAGACCAGCCTGTCTACAAGGCAAGCTTCAGGTCAGCTGGGGCTGTATAGTAAGACCTGGTCCCAAATAAAAATGTAACTTAGTCAGATGACACCGCATAGATTCACCATGTCCATTTACACCGAGGCTGGATTAAAACATAGAAGGGAAAGTATTATATTCACATAAATATTTACATTTTGGGCTCTAGCAAGAATAATTTAATTTGGTTAAGTTAGGATTCTTCAGTAGTGATGTAGATAAGCAGAATCCACGCTTCCCTTAAGAAGCATGTTCTGGAAGAGAGAACAAAAAAATAAATCTTATTCTCCTCATCTGTATAGTTGTGTCTCATTCGTTTCTAATTCTTAGGGTTACATACAAAATATGGTACATAAGAGCTTATACCCAAAATCCAGCACTGTGCTATAGCCACCATCATCCACACTACTGCTAAATACCACCCATGTGCAGGCACTCTACTGGAATTATAAATGTAACTATTTGTATACTCCCTTAAAGCCTCAATCAGTAGGTGTCACTCACACCTAACCCACAGGCTCAGAGAATCCCAGTACTCTGCCCGTTGGCACAGAGTCTACAGCGGGAGCACACAAACACAGGGTCTCCCAAACTGCAAACCCACAGGGGTTTATGACCATCCACTCAACCATACATAGTATTAGTCAAGAAACTGCCATCTAAACTAAATGAGCAGTAATGAAGTTTAAAAGGAAAACAATGTCAAAAGCAGACTAGAGGAAGGGGGAGGATCACACTTCCGGAGTCAAAGTTTCCGTAAGAATGCAGAGACAGCAGGACATCAAATAAAAGCAATAGCTGAGAGACAAATGGAAATGTCAACTCTACGTGAGCATCAGGCCAGCAAGTGCCAGTGAGGGTGAGTAAGGTTGCACCAACATTCTTAGATTCTCTCTTCCTAAAGACACCAACCCACACTGGGTGGCTGAGCTCTCAAAGCCTCTGCAAACCTAGAATTACATGCAAATTCTTACAGGTGCAGTTTTCTCAGAGCAGACTCTACACCTTTCTCCATCATACACAGACTAACATGCAATTCAAAGTCATCCCATTGGTATGTTCCCAAATTGTGGGCTTTTTAAGAGTGCTCAAAATGTAGCCTTCTTAGTTTGTGGTACATGTGTGTGTGACTCAGCAGAGTTCTTGCTTAACATGCAAAGCACTCTGAGCACTATCTTCAAGTTGACAAAAAAAAAAAAAGTATTTGCTGGGCGGTGGTGGCACATGCCTTTAATCCTACCACTTTGGAGGCAGAGATAGGTGGATCTCTGTGAGTTCAAGGCCACCCTGGTCTGTAGAATGAGTTCCAGGTCAGTCAGAGCTACAGAGAAACCCTGTTGGGAGTGGGGGATGTTCTTGTTAGAAAGAAGAAAAAAAATCACCTTGTCCTTGGTACTGCCATTCTGACTTCAGACTCCATTTTACCTGAAGGGTGAAACAAAGTTCAGGTTCCCAAGGCCTAGGGGAACTGGGAACCTTTCAATAGCTGACCCACCTCATTCCTAATCCATAGAAACAGTCATTATGTATCTTTGGTTCTCTAGAAACATTATGGCTGTTCTTAACAACAACAACAGAAGGAACAAATGAATCTGACTGGTTGGTTGGACGGAAAAGCTTGCATTGTCTGACAATTGACAATGATGAAACTTCAAGGGAGTCCCTAATCTGTAAATCCTGATTGGTGAAAATTGCAGCTGTAACTTGGCAACAAAAGCTTGTAATTGCTGTGTTTAAACACCTGCTTCCGCTGACATTCAGCACAGCAGTTCAGCTCCCCAGTCTGCAGCCTCAACTGATCAGACCCTCTCCTTCCCCACTTCTTTTGTGCTGCCCTGTATTAAATCTTGCCTTGTGTAGTAACCTCTTGTGTCTGCTTGGGTTGATTCAGAGCCTCAGACCACAACATTCTCAACCCCCAAATGCTGGCTGTTATCAGGTATCAGTCCTAGAGCAGAGGTCTCTTGGAGGCGGGGTGGGGGAAATGATCCTCTAGACTAAGAAAGGAATTAGCTTAGTCAGTATGGCCTGGCTTGGATCTCTTGCTTCCCAGGTTACCTTCAAATTCCAAAGACCAAGTAGGACTTTTATCTGCTGCTCACTTACATGCTTTTCCTGAGGGCTGCTCTAAAGGAATACCCAGAGAGGCCAGCACGGACAACAGTGAAATGGTAGCTGCAGCTTCCTCCTCAGCACACCTGTTACTGCATGGCCCCTAGGAGTGCTGAATGGACTACATGGTTTCACATGTCCTTGGTAAGACAGCAGTTCCATTAGGGGAAGGTTATTCAGAAGAAAGCAGCTGAAAGGAACCTGCACCAGATCAACTTCTGATCAACAGAAAGGGCGAGGTGGGAGACTGGATGTTGTCATAGCTCATACCCTGTCCTGGGGACATCTGAGTATCTGAGCCAGGTAGAACCTTTTCTCCACAACAACAGCAGGCCAGACTGTGATGAAAAAAGTCAGCATGTCTGAACAGGCCAATTAGAAGCACACAGTCATCCTGAGTTGTCTTGTGGTTTTGCTCAAAGTCAAATGCAGAGTCTGAGCCATTCTCATAAACATGATCCAGGAAAATATATTTGATATCAAGTCCCTATCAAGCTTTGGAGCTTTAGCCACTGTCCAATCAATCTGAATAAAATTACCAATGTGTCAAACAGAGAAAAACTCATTTCAATTCCTTTATCTCTGCACTGTTTATGGCACAAGTAGTATAAAAGCAACAAAATCCTGACAAGATGGTTGATGGGCGGGAAATAAGGCCATAGGCACAGTGACTTTCCATTCAGAATATTAGCACTGTTTGTGGTTTTCGCTTTAGGCTTCTAGGTACTGTACTTCTCAAAGCAATAAAAATGAAACACAGAAGGTATCCAAAGCAGCCATGGGTTTGAAACATTCACTAAGTGGGATTTTTGGAGGAAGTGAATTATTGGAGCTTTAAAGCACACTCTAGCCAATCACTGGACCCTTTGCACCTGTCAGACGCCCCATGTTGAGGAACTTCATGAAAGGACTGCAGGACTCAATGTATATCACAATTTATTGATAATTACTTAAAAATACACACTTTTAAATATTTGACATGACTGAAAGTAAATAAAGTTCTATTCTGGAAACTAGTCTTTGCCTTCTCCAATGGAAGACTAGCAAGCTAAGCTAGAATTAAACCACCAGGATTCAAGAGGCAACAGGAACTGCAGATGTGCAAGCTAATTATAACACAACACTGCGTCCAGGAAATGAGTGGTCACACACCAGCACACCAATAAGCAACTTAATAATCAAGAATATAAAGTGCAAACAGTAGTGGCATACAACTGCAATTCATTACTTCAGAGACTGAGGAGAAGAATTGTGAGTTTGAGGTCAGCCTGGGCAACATAGTAAGAATATGTCTCAAAGTAAATAAAAGCCCAGACAAAGAATTAATAATTAAAATTTATACACTTGGATCTACCAATTCCAGGTCTAGAAATACAACTTATAAGCAGAAAACTAAATATACTAAAGAGTTATCCCAGGAAATGGGGAGAAAAAATGACCTATTCTATGCAAAAGAGAAGCGTAGAAAAAAATCCATACCTTTTACATTATTGATTTTACCAAAAAAGTAAAATAAAATTTCATAGCCAGACACAATATCTACAGAAAATTCATGTTAACAACAAAAAACAAAACTTACTTTGTTTAAATATAAAAGATTAATATTTTTAAGGCTGAAGTCAGGGGTGAGAGTACATTATTTCTCTTACAGTTTAGTTTCCCAAACCCACACAAGGCAGTTACTAATCACCTATAACTAAAGTTCTGGAGCAGATCTGGTGCTCTCTTCTGGTATCCACAAGCAAGTGAACTCACATAGTCTAACCCACAGAGAGACACAGACACACGTAATTAATCCCCAGCACCACCTAAGCCAGGTGTATGAAAGACCTATAACTCCTATGCTCGGGAGGTGAAGGCAGGTGTATCCCAAGCTTAAAATCATCCTCAGCTATTTAGAGAGTATAAGGCCATTCTGGGTTACAGGAGATTTGGTCTCTAAAACATATGTATGTATATTTTAATGCTCATTTACCATTTGCAGAAAAACCCAAATTTCATGCAAATGAAATACATACCTGTGCTTTGATGATTTGCTAAATATATTACATTTTCTTTATTTTTTGGCAAGTCTCCATATAGCAATATCTAAAAGAGAAGACAAAAAGAACCATTATTTTGATAATTTAAAGCATGTGCATGAAATTACAAAAAAAATGAATGTGAAAGAAAATTGACAAGCACAATATAACTAGCTCTTTCCATGACTAACAAACATCAGAGTTCTCGAGAGCCCCACACACCATAAATAGCTCATGCTTATAAAGTACTTAAATAGAGGACAGTTAATGATCATAAGGTAAGACAGAATGATTGATATTCCTGTAAGAAATCCACAAAACTTATTGATTGCTAATATATAAAACTTCACAGCACAGTGGAAGAGACAGGCATATTCATAATAACTATAGTGAGACATAACACAAATAATATGAAAACATTCTATAGTTTAAGGATCTATAAAATGCAGAGCTGGTGTATTCATTGGGTATGGTTTTAGCGAATGAAATGAAGAGGTTTTCTGAATATAAGACCAAACGAAAGCCGTATGTTGGAGTCCTCTGTTAGTACACCAGTGTGTGGAACGATACTCAGGTTGAGGAGCGAGGGCACTAGAACAGGGAGACAAGAAGGGTCTCTCTGAGCTGTAACTCAAGTCAGGGTCTCATGCAGCCCAGGCTGGCCTCCACCTCCTGAGGGCTCGGACTATAGCACGTGACACTATACCCACCTGGCTAGATCTTAATTTTAAACCGAGTACTGAGGACAGGTTTACACTGTACTAATTCTGTTGTGTGCATCTTAAGTATTCAGTGATAAAGAATCTTTATAATAAAGGGACCTCAAGGGAACAAATCACTGTTAATGCTCACTTATTTTCTCTCTTTGGAGCGTCTTTATTTGGTTGTTGCTCTTATACTTCATCATTAATGATTATGCAAAAGTTAGCTAAGGCTTTGGGGTCTACAATGCCTGAAGGGATTACATTCTTGGTTGTGAAACTACTCACTAATATCTTAACAACAACAAAAAATAAAAAGGCATTAATAAACCCTTTATGAAAATAATACAGCTACATGGTATAAAGTTAGAATGTTAAGGACTTAGACTAAGGTTTCTGCTATCTTTCTTAGAAAACTGCAATGACTATGTTCACATTTGTCCAATTATGTCTAATGAAGTTTACAAAAGCATAAATAAATAAAACAAGTAAATAACCAATGGTTAGTTGATCTGTGCAGGGTTAACACTGAGGTGCCAGCTCATGACCAATCACCCTCCTCTTAGCAATAGACTAGAGCTATTTGAGTACTATTGGTACACACTGGATTTAGAACTATAGATAGACAGCAGTGTTTTGGGTTTTATTGTTATTTTGATCAGATATCTACGTTTCTTTAGAGATAAGTCTGTTTCCATGCTGAAGACAGCACCCAAACCATCCAAAGGTACCTTTCTACCAGTTGTAGTGGTGTGTGCCTGAAATCCCGGACACTTGAGTGGCTAAAGCAGGAGGATTAGGAATATGAGGGCAGCCTGGGCTACATACCAAGAATCAGTTATTCACCCACTGTCTGCCTACCTGCTCCCCTTCTCCTCTCTTTCTCTCTCCACTCATCACTCTCCATTTTCTATGAATGGTTTGGTTGAGATTACTAAAATCTATCTTTTGAGTGTAGATTGCAAACAAGCTACTAAAAGGCAGTTTTCACAGGATTAAAAGACATAGAACTTCAAGGTTGTCCTTTATGAGACAATCTAATTTCAAAATAAAACAAGCATAATGAGGACAAGAGAAGAAACCACAAAGTGAGTGCTACCCCCGCTATACTCATGAAATAACACCACAGCTGTGGCTTTCACTCGCTGGCAGAAAGCTTGCCGTGCATGCTAGAGGTCACCATCCGGCAACATGCACGCACCTCTAGCCATGATATATTCAATACATTCAAGGACACTAGGAGAAAAAGGAAGACTACCTGATCCAGCACTGATTTTACATGTAGGTGAGCTAAAGCATTAAAGCAAAAAGTTTCTTGCAGGAAAATGAAACAAAACACCAACCTCATGATCAGTTAATGGCACCAGTTTCTTGTTGAAAAAAACAAAACAAAACAAAACAAAAAAACAAATCCAAAGATCAGTTCATCGCAAGGTCAGTTTAAGATTCCTCACCTTACCGGGAAGTGGTGGCATATGCCTTTAATCCCAGCACTCAGGAGGCAGAGACAGGTGGATCTCTGTGTGTTTGAGACCAGCCTGGCCTACAGAGTGAGTTCCAGGACAGGTAGAGCTGTTCCACAGAGAAACTCTGTCTCAACCTCCACTCTTCCCCACCCGCCCCAAAATAACAATTCCACACCTCTACCTTTAAAACACACAAATATCTACTACTGTCTTTGGACACAAGCATGACTGTAAAGCTTGGCAGAAAGGGCCACCTATTCTTAGATCTGTTTCTACCAATGAATTTCCTAATCTTAAAGAAAGAAAACAAGAAATAAAAGTAGCATCAAGAACTTAATTCATGAGGCTGAGAATGTAGCTCAGTTGAGTGCTAGCTGAGTGCTAAGTCCAGGGTTCAGAAGGCCCCTGTTTACCAGACACGGTAATACACACCTGTAATAGCAATACCAGGGGGATGAAGATGGGAGCATCAGAAAATGTCAAGGATATCCTCAGCTTTATATATACTGAATTTGAACACAAGAAACATAGGATACAAGAAAGCCCATCTCTCAAACAAACACCCCAAAACTTAATTCACACGCCTTTAAGAGATTTTATCTGTGTACTTATTTATACAAACATACAAGAAACTCAAGTGTGTGTATGTGTGCACACATAGATTTTAGGTTTTTGCCCATATGCACAACAGCTTACTGAAAGAGCAACTGTTTCTGGCTGAAACGTGAAAAGAGGCCAAAAACCATTATCTAAGGAAATATCTGAGCATTAGTCTCTCTTTTTTTTTTAACTATTTCATTTAGACTACAGCTGCTTGGAATCTACAGAAATAAAAAGTTAGACCACAGAGCAGTCCTTGATGTGCAAACTACAAAAGATCTGAAAGCAAAGTGAAAAAACAAACTACAATTCTTACACAGATGCAAATCATTACTAGTACTTTGAATAGACATTAATAAATTAAGAAAAGAATACAAAAATAGCACTTACATACCTAATATACACAATTTTAAAGATTCTATATTTCTAAAGTTCCAAAAATGAATAAGCACCTCTATCTAAAATGATTCAAATTTCTTCCATTCTTTGAAGAACAAAGGTTATGATATGATTTTATATTTATTAATATGAAGGGAAAAAACTATTTTAAAGATTTATTTTTAATTATATGCATGCATATATTTACATATTCATGCAAATGCTGCTGACAGTCCAGAAAAGAACACCCATCACCCAGAGCTGCAGCTATGGGTAGTTCTGAATTGCTGGAAATGGCTTCTGGAGACCGAACTCCGATCCTCTGCAAAAGTGTTCTTAATCACTGAGTCATCTCTATAGCCCCAAAAGTTTTCATTTCAAAGTTAGAGATTTTAGCTAGGGAAGGGTGTTAGGGTAGTGCACTGCTTTAATCCCAGCACGCAGATGGCAGAAGCAGGAGGATGTATAGAGCAAGTTCCAGGTCAGCCAGGACTACACAGAGGAACTCTGTCTTGAAAAACCAAATAAATAAATAATTCATATATACATACATAAAAGATTGAGGGTTTTAAAGGTGAGGCTCAGTGGGTAATGCACTTACTACTACATATGGACTATACTTTAGATTCCCAATCTGCTCATAAAAACAAGGCAGGCATAGTGGCCTGCCTGTAATCCCAGCTCTAGGAAAGTATAGACAGGGATCTCTAGAGCAAGCCAGTTAGCTGTATTAGCCAAATGCCTGAACTCTGGGTTCGAATGAGAGACCTGTCTCAATATATAAGGTGGAGAGAAATGCGGAAAGACATGTGACATCAACCTCTGGTTGCCACGTGTGCCTGCATACAAGTACCCATATACATGAAAACATGCTTATTATATACATGTACACCACATATATGCAAAAAATATAAAATTTCAAGATGTTATTACTATCATTTTTTAAATAGTTTCATGTGTGTGGATGTTTTGTTTACAAATGTCTGTATACACTTTTGCCTGGGGCCTGCAGAAGCAAGAAATGGTCATCAGATCCCCTGGAACTAGAGTTGCAGGTTGTAAGCTACTATGTGACTCCTGGGAATTAAACCTGGATCCCTCTGGAAAAGCAGCCAGTGTTCCTTATCCCTGAGCCATCCCTCCAACCCCAGTTACTACTATTTTATTAACAAATATATAACTAATTAGATGGTTGTCGTGTTTTCAAATTTTAAAAAGCTAAGTGCCATGCATAGTAATCCCAGCACGTGGGAGGATGTATCAAAGGGTTATAGGAATGTGAGGCTGCCCTAGGCCTAGAGTGAGACTGAGGAAAAATTCTTTTTAAGGGTTAAGAACTTACAACTATCTACACATAAGAGCTGTAGGCCACATGAGGTTGCCTATGCACCTGACTTTGATCCTCTCTGGGGTGGCTCTCTAAGTTACTCACTTCTCCCTGATGTCTTTCCACCTTCAGCACGACCACAGGCTTCATTCATCATAGCTGTTTTGCACCACAGCCTGTCCTGTTCACAGTCCTAAGAGGGCTAAGGACACCTTGTACAGGCTAACTACAAGTCACAATCCCTGTGGCCTGTTTTCTAGCCTGAACTTGAGCACCCGGATAGTTTCCAACAAACAGATGTTCACGTAATTATTAAGTTTACACTTTTGTTTTGCACCAAGTAAAACTGTCTCCTTTTAAATATAAGACATTTTAGAATAACCATAAATAGAACATGCTAAATATACTGGAGACTTCTAAGGACATTATTCTGTGAACCTTCTAGCTCTCATTTACTTTACTAACTCTAACCAAAATATTCCACAAAGCATTTTGAAAATATGTTTTTAAACCTTACATCATAATTATTTAAGTAACTTTAGATTCATCCACCTTTTTCAAAACTCTGTAGAAAGACATCTGTCACTAAGCCTGA